GTGTGTGTGAGTGTTTGTGCGTGATAAAATCGATAGTGTTACGGGTTTCCAAGTATGCACAGCGTGTCACGGTCCACAGACGAAATCGATGTGGTGAATTAATTATTATGACGATGTATTCTTAACGTGTACAAGATGAGTAACTGCGATGCCAAAGTTTGCTCTCGCCGGCGTTTCGTCGTTATTAGCCGACGTTTATCAGCGTTTTATAGTCGTGTCCCGTCGGCATAATATACGTAGTGAATCTCATCRTTTATTTCGTGTCGGACATTTAAAATCGTTGTGTTATTGGTCACGATAACAGGGCAATATTCCTTGACACGTTAATGACCGCCTTTTACCGTAAATCGCGATTACATTTCATTATTATAAAACTCGAATCTACATACGGACCTCTTTTCGTGTAAATTGTATACAGGATGTTTCRTTCCGTGRTAGTTCAGAGGTCAATATTTTTATTTTATATATACATTAAACAGATCGAAAAATTATTACAGCTAAGAGTACGTAACAGTGGTATTTGTTGTCTCCGTCTTACCAGTGCGTAATATAGCAAATTTACGCGCAGCAGAACACTTGTAGCTCCTTTAGTTTAAAAATTACAGTGAATCGATCTGTTATGAAACTTAACGGTAAGAACAGTATCTGTGTTTGTACGATGGTTTTTTACGATAATTCAATTTTTAAGTGAGTTATGAGCATATAATATACAGTACACTAAAAATGCTCATAACTCACTTAAAAATTGAATTATCGTAAAAAACCATCGTACAAACACAGATAATGTTCTTACCGTCAAGTTTCATGATAGRTCGATTCAATGTAATTTTTAAACTAAAGGAGCTACAAGTGTTCTGCTGAGCGTAAATTTTTGCTATATTACGCACTGGTAAGACGGAGACAACAAATACCAACTGTTACGTACTCTTAATAGTGCTAGTTAAGTAATTTTCTCTGTTAATCTAAGGTAGTATGCTGCGGGTTTCGTAGTTTGTGTGTGTGTGTGTGTGTGTGTGTGCGTGTGTGCGTGTGAGATTACAATATAATTCTTATTAAGTATATGTATACCTTTGTTTATTTAAATGATGAAAATTAGAAAAACTCAAATACGCACGAGTACGGATTTAATTATAGGTACATATCGTTTAATTACATGTATAATATGTACTATAGATATAGACTCAGTACAATAAAATATATTAAAAAATAACGCTAAATAACACGGTTTTTATTGCGATGTTTACAATTATAAATGTTTTTTTTACARTAGTGACTTGCGTAAGAATAATATTAGGTCTATTAACCTAATTATTTTCCCGTAATTGTATGTTCGAAGCCTTTTTTCTACAATAATATTTACTGTGCTTAGTTACTTTACGAACAACGAAGAGTCGTTCCGAGGGAAACAAWGTAACATTAGCGATTCGAAATAATTCTAAAGGTCAAGGCACATTTTTTGTGTTACGGTAAAGTCAACAACAACAGTCTTATCGATCTGCCGGCATCACTAATTTCTGACGGCTTTTTATGTTTACTAATTCGACGATATTAAAAATCCCCATAGGTACGTGCATTATAGATTGTGCAGAATATTATTTAATTGTAACAATATAATGTATAAACGTTTTGCCAGTTTAACGAGCATTAATAATTAGTATTAAGCGGTCATTCGTTTAATCAAAACACATTATTTTGTTCGACCCAAAGGTCGGACTCCACGGTGATTAAGACAGTGTTATTGCAGCTATTTTACTAWTTTAATATTCGATTCCCAACGACGAAATATAATAATATGATTCGTAACACGCACTTATTAAGTGATTATTATTTCATTTTATTTAGTCAAATTATCGGTATCACAACAACGTAGCAGTTTTAAAAC